TAGAACAACAAATGGTGCAATCCTATGCATGTTTCCAATACTATGCTTGTATTAATTAGTCTATACAAGCAAGGAGCAAGAGCTTTCTGAGGCATATAGGAACCTGCCCAATATAGAATTAAACCAGTAGCCCATTTGGTTCATTACTGTCAATATTGGCTGGCAGTGGCAGCTTCAAGAGGGTTAAATCTCTCCACAGTGCTTGGAAGTTACTCTAAATAACATTATGAGAAGTTCAGCTAAAATTAGGAAAGATGAGAAAAGGTAGCACCAAGTCTAAGAGGTCACCAGCTGCTTCAAGGAAGCTATCAGAGAAAAGAGGCTTCCTGTAGAGAATGGAAGTCTTGCCCAAATGAGAAGAACAAAAAAGAATGTTTGCACAAAGGAAACACAAACAATAAAGGATGCAAACAGCGTATCAATAAGGTATATCATCAATAAGGTCAGGGATAACAATAAAGAATTCTTTAAATAGACTCAGGAGCTTATCTAGGGAGGTGTTGGATATTGGATAATAATGGAGTTAAAGGAGAATTAACGGAGTACATCACAGAGAAGATGTGCTTTCACAGTGAATCTGAGGCAAACAGTGGTGCCAAGTGATTACAATGACTGACAAACTGAAAGCTAATAAAACACCAGGCCCAGACAGTATCCATCCTATTGCTGTTAATTAAATTGTGGTATCACTGATCTTATAACCAAAATATTTAGCAAGTCCCTAAGATCAGATTCTGTACCAGAAAACTAGAATAAGTCAATATTTAAAAAGATATCCAGGAGAACCTGGGAAATTACAGGCTCATTAGTTTGGTGTCTGTTTGGAGTAAACTGGTGCAAAGTATTAAAGGTAAAATTAGAAAGCATATGAATGTGTAAGTCCTGATGAAAAGGAATCAATATGGCTTCTGCAAAGCTATGTCCTATCTCACTACCTAGAGGGGGTTTTTTGGGAGGGGGGAATCAATGAATATGCAAACAGGTGATTTGCTGAAATCCTACTAACACTGGAATCTTCTTTCTCTATATAATAATGAAGCTGCTGCTCATTAAAACAAGGCTCATTGTACTGCTGTGGCGGTGGTGTTTAAAGAGTGATAGTACTTCTAGTAATTAATGAGATGTTGGAAAAAAATTTGTTAATACTTAAATATGGAAAAGCAGGATGTACAAATGTGAATTTGGCAAGAACAATGAGGGCATGGGTTCCTATAACATAAGGCAGTGGTTTTCAACCACCGGTCCGTGGATCAGCTGGTCCTCCAGAGGTTTTCTGCCAGTCCATGGGGAGGCCACATCCCACCTGCTGTGCTCTACCACCTCTTCCTTGGTTGGCCTCGTATTCATGGGGGGTGAACCAGTGTGAATCTGAAATCTATTTTGCACCTAGCAAAGCCTAATCAACTCAATAACATAATCTTAAATATGTCTAAACTGACTACAGTGGGGCTTACTCTCACTTAAGCATAGGTAAAAAGGTAAAGGTTTCCCCATGGCATTAAAGTCCAGTCATGTCTGACTCTAGGGGACAGTGCTCATCTCAATTTCCTAGCCAAGGGAGCTGGTGTTTGTCCGCAGACAGTTTCCGTGGTCATGTGGCCAGCATGACTAAATACCAAGGTGCACAGAATGCTGTTACCTTCCTACTGAAGTGGTACCTATTTATCTACTTTCAGACTGGAAGGTTGGCAGGAGCTGGGACAAAGCAATGGGAGCTCACCCCGTCTTACAGATTCGAACTGTCAGCCTTTCAGTCAACCAGCCCAGCAGCTCAGCAGTTTAAACCACTGCACCACCTGCATCCCAAATCTGCACATTTTCTGCACTGCATTATTACAAACAGCACATTTTGGGCTGTCTGTCATACCCAGCTTCTCTACCACTGTTATTCTAACTTCTAAGCTGATAAAGAGTTCTAGAAAACTCAAAAGCTTGCTTTGACCAAGTAACACTTTAGTTGAACCTAATAAAATTATTGGTCTACTTTAGCTTTGCAGTCCTGACCCC